TTCATCATTGTCATTGAACTCGTTAAAATGTAAAAAAATGTCACTCAAGCCGGTGGGCGTTATGCAGTTGGCAAAAACAGAGAGTGCCAAGGGGTTGGTTCGAGTTCGATTTCTAGCAACTGCGCTGTGAGGCAATTATGCTAATTAAGCATATGACCTCTGAGAGTACTAGCCTACCAGGTGCAACTTCCACTTTCTCCAACCAATCTGTAATTAAAGTCCATTTTATCATCTCTCAGTGAATGTTCGACCGGGTCTGAAGGGGTCATCGGGAATGAGGCTCATCCTTTCGAGAATGTCACTCAAGTGTTATTTTATGTCAAAAAGGCTATTAAAGTCTTCAAAATGTTAAAAAATGCCACTAAAGTTCATATTTTTCCCTTTTTAATTTCTATTATGTTGTATTAGGGAATGTGAATTTAGATTTCTAATTTATATTTGATTCAAATTATTTATTTGGAAACTCAAATAATATAATTTGGATATGAATTTGAACCAAATTCTTCTAGTTAAAAATTAACCGAATAACGAATCTACACATCATCCCATATCATTTACAAATTCAAACATAACTTTTTTGAATGTTATTGACTCTATTATAATGTAATATCTATACATACATTTTTCAATCTAATGACGCACAAAGAGTCAATGCCTCTAATGGGACTTGAACCTGGGTGAACTTTCACAATTTTTCTTTAATTTTTAACTTGTAATTAATTAAAAAGTGATCTTCTTTTATACAACAATAATTCCATACATATCAAATGACATTTCTTATTTGAAATTATGGGATTTTAAATACTGGGATTATAATCTAAGATTTGAGAATGAAGAGCGTGGTGATTTTTTAAATACTGGGATTTTAAGTGAATGAAGAGCGTGGTGATTTTTTAAGATAAGAGAAAAGTTTTCAAATCATATATTAACTTATACAAAAAAAACAAATAGAGTCAGAAATGTTTTAGGAGTGTACATTAAAAAATGTTAGAATTTTTAAAATGAAGATATTATTTTTATTAATGAAAGATAAACAAAATATCATACTCCGTATATTACAATACTATATTTTAAATTAATTGATTTGTTTCAAAAAATATATTTGTTATGAAATAAGATATATTCTATCGTTGCAAAAGTCTACAAAAATTTTTTAGACACGACCTAGATGCACTCAAACTATTATACGAAGACTTTAGAAAATATATATAAGAAAAATAATTTTAAAAAAAATTGCCTATTAATGCCTTGTAGCTATTTTAAAATATTTGAGTATTATTTAAGAACATTTTAGAAAAATCCTTAAAGAAAAAAAAAATCTTTTTTGGAAGAGTAATTTATCTAAATATGACTAAAACATAATGACTTTCCCAATATAAGACAATATGTTTTTATTTTTTCAATGTAGGACTTTTGGTCATTATCAAGTAGTCATTATTCAAGTAAATGTCTATCATTACTGGACATTATTCCTCCCACAAAGTCATTATTAAGTCCTATTTAAGAAATAAAAAAAGTTTAAGTCCTACATTAAGAAAGTCATTATGTTTTAGTCTTATTTAATGCAAATTTCACTTTTTGGAATGGGAGGTGTATTATTCAGGCCCAAAATCTCTAATCCACTTAATATTATCGAAGCCCACATGATTCAATCAGTCCCAAAAATGTCTCGAACCCATTAATTTGGTCTAAGTCCATTTTGTTTTTGTAGCAAAAAGGCCCATATGTTAACGGACTGCTGCTACGCAGCCAAACCCTAACTCTAAGCGAACAAGAACCCTTCATTTACAGATGAAACCCTAGCTCTTTTCCAGCGAACGAGAACAATGGCTGACAGAGGAGGAAGGTTCGACCGCGGTTTCGGAGGCGAAAGAGGCCGCGGCCGTGGTGATCGCGGCCGTGGAGATCGCGGACGTGGCCGTCGCCGCCGTGCTACGGAGGAGGAGAAATGGGTTCCGTGTACGAAGCTCGGTCGGCTGGTGAAGGATGGAAGGATCAATTCGCTGGAGCAGATCTACCTTCATTCGCTCCCCATCAAGGAGTATCAGATCGTCGATACCCTCATCGGGCCATCGTTGAAGGACGAGGTGATGAAGATCATGCCGGTTCAGAAGCAGACCCGGGCCGGTCAGAGGACCCGATTCAAGGCTTTCGTGGTCGTCGGAGATGGAAACGGTCACGTAGGTCTGGGGGTCAAGTGCTCTAAGGAAGTCGCCACTGCGATTCGCGGCGCCATCATTGCCGCGAAGCTCTCTCTGATTCCCGTGAGGAGAGGCTACTGGGGGAACAAGATCGGAAAGCCTCACACTGTTCCCTGCAAGGTCACCGGAAAGTGTGGATCTGTCACCGTCCGGATGGTTCCAGCTCCGCGAGGTGCCGGAATTGTGGCTGCTAGGGTTCCAAAGAAGGTCCTCCAGTTTGCTGGTATTGAAGACGTCTTCACGTCCTCCCGTGGCTCCACGAAAACTCTTGGAAATTTTGTCAAGGTATTTGTAGCTATTATTATTATTATTTGATTTATTTTTAATTGAAGCTTGATAATTGCTTTATAATATTGGTATGCAGCTTATTGTTTTTGTTTGAATACATGATTCCTTTATCTGTTACTTATTGATAATAATAATAATAATAATAATAATAATAATAATTGAAATTAGAATTAAATGTATTATTGGTTATTAATTTTGGCTGTCTATTTTCAAGGGTTCCAGAGCAATTTTTTTTAATGCATTGCTTATGGTTGTAAAACCATGCTTGGAAATGCTTATGCGATTGACTTGTCATTTTTGAGCTGATATATTTCTCATGATTAATCAAAGGAGAACCCGGAAAATGAGTGTAGAACTGTCTTTTTTCAATAAAAGAGTACATGCATCTTTTTTTTATCAATCAATCAAGCAGCCCAAGCAAGTAAGTTCATGTTAATTCCAAATTGTCGTGAAATAAAAGTTCATTTTTTATAATAGAAATTGAGAATGTATTGTACACTTGGCTGTATGTAGAGCTAGGTACACCTACCAAAAATTCATTTTGAATCAAGAGAATGTTCATTTCAAATCAACGTAAAGTTTATTTTCAAGCGTAGTGTTCATCCTGAAACATGTTCATTCTAAAACAATATAGTCTTTATTCTGATACAACGTACATTTCATTCAGAAATGTTTTTTTAATTACATGTTCCTCATGATGTACCAAGAGGAAGGTACATGTAATTTGTCATGTATTGTATCGATCTCATAATGTCCTCTTTGCAATAGGCCTTGTCCATGTTAAGATATATATCTGACTTTGGCTGACTATAAACTTGCAAACTATCCAACATATCATTTGATTATTCAGTTAGAGTTTTAGTTTGGAGCACCAAGTGTGACTCAATATCATTAAAATCTATTTGCCTTCCTGAATTTCTTAATGATGATTTTTGCTATTAGAAACAAGCGTAGCTTTGTCAATGATCACATGAGTGAATCTTGTTTGGTTTTGGTTTTCCTGCAGGCTACCTTTGATTGTCTCTCTAAGACGTACGGATTCCTCACACCGGATTTCTGGTCTCAAACCAAATTCATAAAATCCCCATTTGAGGAGTTCAGCGATATCTTGGCTCACTCCACCACCAAACATGTTTCTGCAGAAGAGGCTGTTGCAGAGAAACTCGAGGCTTTGTGAGCTAGAGCTTTAGATCTTTTTCTTCACTGCTACTAAGATTATGAATTTATGATGCCTTTTTTGCTTCAATCAATTCCCCTCCATCTGATTTTTCTTATGTTTTTTAGATACTCCCTATCATAAAGCAATGCCATTTCAGTTTCTTTTGTTATTTTCATTGACTGGTTTATGCTATCTAATCTAATGCACCAGAGTGCTTGTGCCATTTTTGTCCTATGATGAATCCCCCCAACCCAACCCAAGACTTCACTATACCTTTTTGTGTATTCTTATCTCGATGGGATGCCATAAAAGTACTAGAGTATTGTTCTAAAGCAAGTAAAATGGATTGAAGAAGTGTATTGGATGGTGTGTAAAAATGAAAGTAGACAAATACTCTGGGACGGAAGTAGTATATATTTAAAAATTACCGGAGTATATCAAAAGTTTTACTTTCTCCATTCTAAATAAAATTGCATGTTTACTATTTACAAGGTTAAATTTTAGAGAAATTTACCTAAATAGGATTAAAACATATTGAATTTCCCAATATAGAAGCACATATTTTTATTTCCTAATATAGGACTCTCGGTCATTATCAAATAATCATTATTCAAGTAAATGTCCATCATTATTGACATTATTCCTCTCACAAGGTCATTATTAAGTCCTATTTAGGGAATAAAAAAGTTTAAGTTTTACATGAGAAAAGTTATTATGTTCTAGTCCTATTTACTGCAAATTTCACTAAATTTTATTTACTTTTTTTCTTTATTTTTGTTAGTCATTTGATAAAATATTATAGTTATGTCACAATTAGTTTTGTAAATCATTTGGTGTACTGTTTAAATATGAAATTTTTATTTCTTAATTTTACACTGTTTTTCATATAAAATTATTTGAAAATAATTTTAGACAAACATTCTAAATTAAAATAGATAATATAACTGGAACAGAGGGGGAACAAAATAAGAGTTCATAAGGTTATATTATATTCCCAAATGGGAAGCGAAAATGAATCAAGAATGTAATAGTAAATAAACTTTTAAATTTCAAATTCTATGGGAGGAGTGAGTAATTTAATCGAACTGAACGATTAACCAATTCAACTTAACAAAAATGACCGCAATTTTGAATTTGGTTTCAGTTTCCGATTTTAATATACTCCCTCCGTCCATAAAAAAACTTCCCAATTTCCTTTTTCGTCCTTCCACAAATAAACTTCTCGTTTCCTTTTTTGGAAACTTTTTCATGCCAAAAATACCTAATTACCCTCGCCCTACCCTCTTTCTTACTCCGTGTCTTTTTTCTCCTTCCTCTCATCCTCTCTCGGTCAACACATCTTCTCTCTTCTTTCTTTTCTCTTCTTTTTCTTTCTTCCTCCCCTTTTGATCTACCCACTCTCTGTACATTTTTTTTCTCTGTTTTTTTCTCTTTTCTTCAGTTCTTCGTTCTTTTCTTCTCTTTAGTCTAAAATCCTAAAGTGGGCTGGTCACTACTCACTAGTCATTACCTCCGTCATTAGTCTCATCCCAACCCAAATGTTTTACGGAGTAGGTTACAACCTCGACTCCATCGTCCGCCGCCTGTCTCCTTCCTCAAAACCTCGACTCCATCGTCGCCGGCACCTTTTCCGTCGGTTGTAACCTCCTGCCGGTTGCATGGTTTTCGATTTTGTGTGGGTGTATGTGTCCGCCAATCATCCATTATCTTGATTCTGATTCTCGCTTGACCATTTTGCCTCAAGGATTTCACCAGAATCAGGTATGTATCTCAGAATATGTACTCCACGTTCGAACTGTTTATCCTCTTCTCGTTGGGATAAGATAATACTCTCTCCGTCCCACTGTGTTTGTCCACTTACCTTTTGGCACACCATCCAATGCACTTCTTTAATCCATTTTATCTTGTAATTTGTATATTAAAAAATTATAAAAATTATATATTTATAATCTATATGTTAAGACGAATCAAACAAGATCACACATGACTATTTTTAGGCTTACACATTAAGAGAATTTGATGAGTTAAAGTGCTTCGATGAACAGTTTCAAAAGTCAAATGTGGACAAAGACAATGGGACGAAAGTAGTATGCTTCTATTCTTGCAGCATCCAGTACCTAGAGTAGGTTTTAGGGATGAAGCTTTTGTTTTTTTCAAACCAAATCTGTTTTCCTCGGTTTGGTTTGTTCGGTTTTAACACTAATTCAGTTTGGTTTCGGTTGGTTATTGTGAGTAATTTCTATTTTCGGTTAGTTCCGCCCGAACAGAACTTATGCTCTCCCTTATTCTATGGTGAACTGAAGGTCACCAAGCACATATATGAAGGAAGAAGTGATTTGGATTTTAGAAGCACTCTATTTAAATTGGATCCATATTGCATTGACCATATGGTCTCGAGCCAAACGAAGAAGTGATTTGGATTTTAAAATCATACACTGGTAATTTGTCGATGTATGATACGCAAACCTCGGCGAATCTCAAGAACTCGTAATCGGTTGGTTCCAGAGACTCAACTGGAACCAAGTGCACCAAAAAAAGTTTGAAGCTCTAATTTAAACCTTTTAGGCTTTAAATACAGCATCCAGAGTATGGAGTAAATACCGTAAGCCACAAATCACAAACCCTATCCTCTCCCCTCCTCTCTCATCAGTGATCTACTCATCCCGTCCGTTTATCTCTGCGATTTCAATCTCTAGCTCATTGTGCATCCACTGTCCCCGATCGCCCTCCATCTAGGAGACAATGTCGTACTATGAGTATGTACTATTGTACTTCCCGATCTTCATCTAGGAGACAACTGTACAAGGTTGTACTACCAGTATGTGCTTCCCAATCTCCATCTCATCTTCTATTTTCCTCTGTTAATCATTACTCCCTCCGTCCTACTCACTTTTTACCCGGTCAAACTTTAATCACTTTCTTTACCTATTTTCATTAAGTATTTCATAAAATAATATAGTCTTATCACCACTTGTTTTGTAGAACTTTTGATATAATTTTTAAGTATATAAATTTTACTCCCTCCGTCCCGTGAAACATGGGGCATTTGCTTTTTAGGAAGGATTTAAGGGAGTGTATTTTGGTATTGAATTTCCAAAAATGTCCTTTGACGTGATGGGTAAAAGTATGATTTGATGGATAGATTATTAGTAAAAAAGGTATGATGTGATAGTTAGGATATGAAAAAGTAAGGGGTAAAGGTGACTTTTTAATAGAAATGAGAAGTGTTTTGTGGGACGGATAAAAAAAGAAAGGGAAAATGTTTCACGGGACGGAGGTAGTATTTTTTAAATTTTACACCTACAATCAAATAAATTGGATTGAAAATAAAGTCGGTCAAACCTCGTAAAATGAACTGGGAAGAACATTATAGGACAGAGAGAGTATTATATGCTTCCAAATATTTTTTCTTAACCCAAAATTACCAGTCTAGAAGGCTGGGGTGGGATGGTTTCATGAATGTGCTGCCAGCCTTCTGTGGATGTTTAGTGATTCGAAGAAACTGTGTGGATGGTTTTGTTACTTGGGGTGGGATGTTTTTTTTTTCATTTTGTTGCATTTTGAGGATCGAGTATTACTGTTATGCTTCGTATAACACTTTACTTGCTAATCACAAACAAAAAAAGTAGTATATTTTTTTGGTAGAATAACCCCCAAACCCAATTCCCAAACTATTTTTTTCCTAATGTTGTTGTGCAATTCGATTATAATTAATCGACTGTCAACTGCTGGCGTAATCTGTTATTAAAATATAACGGTTCAGTTTCAGTCGCTTTTTAATAAAAAAATTGGTTAGTTTGGTTTTGGGCCGAGACCGACTGAACAGACCCGATGCTCACTCCTACTTACTACAACAAGAGAGTCTGATCAATGATTTCATTGAAGATTCCTAAAATCTTCGAGTTTCTTGAACTTTGTGAGACAGCGCTTGCACTTGATAAAGATAAGGTGAATGTAAAGATAGGAAGACTAAGGTATAATCGTTTTTTATTGTTGTATTTTTGAAAATTTTAAGCATATGTTTTATACTTTCCAAGTTGTAACTTTATCTCTTTTTTAGGAAATTTTGCTACTTTATTTTAAAAAATTCAGTGTTTTACAACCGAGATGATGATTTCAAGTATCTGTTGAAATAGATGAGTTGGGTTTTGACAATCATGTCGAACTGAAGGAGTGCTTCGAGGATAATGTGAAGTGAATCACAATGGGGGACAGAGAGCTACACCAAATCACATGCTTTAATAGTCATATTAACAATGTAAAGGGTCCAAAGAAGGGGAAGAAACAAGGTGCAAAGGTTAGAAGGATGAAGAAGGCAACCATGCTAGGAAAGAGCAAGAAGAGCTTGAAGAACAAGAATGTCAAGATGGATGTTATCAATAACATGTATGAAGATCCATATAATTGCATATGGTTGATACTAAGCGTCATTCTCCATTTTCAACACACGGCTTTTTATCTTGAAGTTGAAGCTCATAGTCGATATAATATGGATTAGATCCTCTGAGAAGTACTTGATCGGTATGACATAATACCCATATCTTGATCTGTTTTAACCATGGAGCTTTTGGAGCGCTAGGGTAAAGAAGGTTAAAACATGCCAAGATATGGGTATTATTCCAAGATAATACCGAACGAGTGTTTTTCGGAGGATTTGATCCATATTGTATCGACCATGTGCTTCAATTTCAAGATTAAAAGTCGTGTTTTGAAAATGGAGAATGACATTTAATATCAATCGTATGCAATTATATGGATCTTCATACATGTTATTGATAGCATCTTTTTTGACGATCTTGTTCTTCAGGATCTTCTTGCTCTTTTCTAGCACTGGTTCCTTCTTCATCCTTCCAACCTTTGCACCATGTTTCTTCACCTTCTTTGGACCCTTTGCATTGTTAATCTGACAATTAAAGCATCTTATTTGGTGTAGCTCTCTATCCCCTTTGTGATTCGCTTCACATAATCATCAAAGCACCTCTTCAGTTCGACATGATTCTCAAAACCCAACTCATTTATTTCAACTTAATTCTTGATCTTGAACATATACTTGAACTTATCATCTCGGTTGTAAACCACTGGATTTTTGAAAACAAAGTAGCAAAATTTCCTGAAAAAAGATATAAAGTTACTAACTTGTAAAGTATAAAACATATGATTAAAATTTTAAAAAATACAACAATAAAAAAACTGGTATACCTTAGTCTTCCTATCTTTACATTCACCTTATCATTATCAAGTGCAAACGCTGTCTCACAAAGTTCAAGAAACTTGATTATGCTTACATGAGCATAAATTATTTTTGTTTTAGCCAAATTGAGAATCATCAAGATGATTTGCTTCAAAACAAGTATGCATTTTTTCAAGTTTGCAAGATTCGCTGGACAAACAAAATGGTGCAGTTATAAAAAAGGAACAAATGCAAAGAAACTTCATAGATAAGAAAGAAACATTATAAGAGCTCACTGGGCTTTTCAAATCTATTTTTCTTGTAAATTACCTTCCCTCTTCTAATAAGAACATCACAAAGATGTGTATGAGCTCCACCATTGAGGCATATCGTCCGATATGCCATTCCAAAGATGGCTCTCAGCACTCTGCGTATAGTACTAGACAATTTTATTTGGTTGTTGGGTAGTTTTAACCAAATAATATGTTTGTGGTCATATACCGAATAGATGAGTTGCTTAGATAGTTAAGGAAATTGTTCATCAAGTTTTTGAAGTGTTGCTTCTCTTTCTTCCGCCTCCTGTTCGAGTTAGTTTTAAAAAACATGTCTTACTATTTCGAAGATTAGAATACTGCTATTTTTTGGAGATGGTTGGACATGACACACAAACATATTACGTATTATTTAGAGATCAAGGAATCAAAATTTACATTAAAACTTTGTAAATAAGAGGATATAGTGTAGCAGATTACGTATAATGTCATTACGTATGTTAATGCATAAAAAATACTTACTGTGATTCATTGAGCTCAGCTTCGGAAGATTCTTCAGTAGTCGATTCAAAAACTTTTTCTTCTAACTGGTTTGACTTTTCCACTTTTTCAGCTTTCGTTTTCCTTTTTCTTCTCCTTTGCTCCTTTTTTTAATCCTTCTCTTCAGTCTTCTTCTTGTTTCTGCACTTTCTCTTTCAGCATCTTTCAATACCACTTCATCAGTGGTTGGATCGCCCTCTGTTTTAGGTGATTTTTTTTCCAGTTCTCTTTGTATTTTAGCAGGATAATCTTCCAAACCTTTTGCGCTTCTTTGACAAATCCTTCATTCCCTTCATTGTCGTACGACGATGGCGTGAGGGACAGGTGGCGTAGGTGAGACAGCGGTAGGTGAGGTTAGGGAGGTGAAAGCTCTGGCGTCAATCAAAGCCCAGACAAGCGTCTTTCTTCGTTCTCGCTTCCGATTGAGAAAAAACCCAGCCCGTGCCTCCTTTCTTGGCATCCGTTTGCAAGCTTCGCTTGATTGAATATATCAAACTCAAAGAAGATGTGACCAACATCATCAGAATCATAACCACAATTGTCCTCGGAATCATAACTGCCTTTCAATGCTTCCACGAGACTGAATAAACTGTCGAAACCATACCAGTCATATCCCGACCGATTCCCCCACCAAATACCAAACACCACGCACTGCTTTGGTTCCATCACCATATCCTTTCTTCTTCTTCTTCTTCTTCTTCTTTGCTGCTGCATGCTTGAGAAACTCTGTTTTGCTACAGTGACGGTCTGTCTCCCGGATTAGGGTTCTATGCTCAGATGATAAATAATTACTCTGATGAATTAATTTAATACATTGCTTTTATTTCTTTGTCCAACCCAAGTCAGGTTTTTTTCGTTTTTTAAATTTGGGCCTTATGGCCCAACCCAATAGACGCTCAAGGGGAATATTTTTAAGGATTTGAAAGAAAACAAAAAGAAAAAAAGCCAATTTATATTGTACTGTGTTGTTGGCTTCCTTGTAATGATCTTTTTTAGCCATAAATAAATATTACTATTATTTAATGTACTCCTATAATGTCAAAAATAAAATATTTTAAATATTAAATAACATAAAATAAAAATTTTATAGAATAAAAGTAAAACCATAACAAAATAAAATGTTATAAGTAGACATAATTGACTGTACTTGGCAAAAAATAATTCGACCAATTTTTAACCAAGCCTCGATTTTACAATACTGAGTTTTGAACAAATGTCTTGAAATTACTTTTTGACATTTATAATTAAATGCTATCTTTAAAAAAATTTGATTTTAATTTTATACTGGTACAGATTGGTATATCGTTAAAAAAAATACTCCCTACGTTCTCAATTTGATTACAGATTGAGGTTTTCGAGGAGAAATATCTCACTTTTTGAAATTATTTTATTTACAAATTGGTATATCAATAAGAAATAAAAATTACATATTAAAAAACTACGTCAAAAAATCTACAAAAAAAAGAGGTGGCATGAATATTTTATTTTATTAAATATTTAATGAAATTGTATAAATAAATAAAGTTATTGAAAGGAAAGAGAAAAACAAATTGTGAGTATATTTTAAGAGTGAAAAAATGGGAGGAGTGATCAAGAGCCGGAAGGGACGGGACGGTCACATAACTCTGTACTTTATACGATCTAAAATAACAGAGAAATGGGGCGCCATGGCAAAGCGGGTATGGGATCCATTGTATTCTCAATCTTCCTCTATTTATCTTACCAAATCACTGTTGCCTTCTGCCTGGAACCCCATTTGAGCTCCACCCGCGTTGTCTTCCAGGTTCCCTTTTCGCAGCTCTCCCTCTCTCTCTGGTTTTTCCCGTTTAAAAAAAACAGAATAAAATCCGATGCTTTAGATGATTAGATACAAGTAATGAAAAAAAGAATTACAGTATTACTTTACAAGTAAACTGAAATTAGAGTGGATAGTTTTGAGTTAATTGGATATGGCTCTAGAAATGAAGTGCTAATCAAAAAAGGACGAACCTTTTTGGTTTTTTTCATGAATTGGAACTCAAGAATTGAAGCTGCTTATTGCTGAAATTCTGGGTGTTGAATAAACTAGGAAGATTTGAATGTTTTGAGTTGAGTGCAGACAAACTATGGGGACATTGAATTTGGGTTTTATCCCAGTGTTGCGCCAAGAACGGTCGAACACATCTTCAAACTTGTCCGGTTGGGTTGCTACAATACCAATCACTTCTTCCGGGTATTTACTTAGAATGGTTGAATTCTTGAAAATGGCAATTGTGGCAAATGTTGTGCATTGGCTGATCAGAGCAAACACTGGGTGCAGGTCGACAATGGGTTTGTTGCTCAGGTTGCAGATGTTGTCGGAGGAAGAACCGTGCCCATGAATGAAGAACAACGGGTAGAAGCCGAAAAGACTGTCAAAGGAGAGTTCAGTGATGTCAAGCATGTAAGAGGGATTCTTTCAATGGGAAGGTAAAGAGTTTCCTCATTGCAGTAATTGCACTTCCTGAACTGATCATGTTCCTTATGCTGTCCAGCCTACTATTCTTGGATCTTACTAGATTTGTTGTTGTTGTTGTTTGGACAACTTTAAAAACTTGTGTCTGCCTAAATGTTTTTCATTTACTTAATTGGACTAAACCTTTTGAACTCAATTTCTTAGATATTCTGATCCTGATAGTGCATCCTCTTCATTCTCTATGCTTCTTGGAGATGCACCTCACCTTGATGGCCAAGTAAGATGGTTAGATTAATCATGATGATATCCTTTTCTGTGTACTTTTGAATATTAATCATGAAAATCATTACCTTTTGGTACCCATTAGTATGCAGTATTTGGAAAAGTCACTAAGGGGGATGACACATTGAGAAAGCTTGAGCAGCTACCTACTCGACGTGAAGGGATCTTTGTAATGGTAGTATTCCATCATTGTGTTTCTACTTTTTCACCCCATTTGAGAATGCATAAGTGCATAACACGACTATCTTGCTTGGTATTGTTGGTAAAAAACATGATTCTTGTGCTTGAAAGAAAAGAGAGGCAAATGGTAGATAACGGCTGCATATATCATCTGTGTGGTTCTCACAATACTTAATTACTTTTTTGGATGGCATTTGTATTCTTATTTTTGGGTTTCATTTGAGACAACCTCTTTTTGCTTCACGGATTATTCTCATCTCTCCATGGTTTTTGTTTTTGTTGTTGTAGCCAACAGAGCGCATCACCATTCTGTCAACATATTACTATGGTAACTATCCTTTACATATCTTTATATGTTGGTACCTGTTTTTTAATGTAACAATAGAAAAATAAACTTAATTAGTTTTGTTTTTAGTAGGGAAGAAGTCGTACCCTCTATATAAGAGTTGCAGAATTACAACCACAGTGGCTGCTACCCTTTTGCTTAATGACTTAAACATCCCAAGCTAAGGTGCCTCCAAAGCGTACCGGGTGTTTACATATACATACTTAGGTTGATTTTAAGCCCCCTCTAAAGTGGAACCTATACAGTTTCCTTCAAATCTCAACGTGGTTTCAGTAAATGATTGTTGTTTGTGGGTTGTCTCAAAATGGTGCACATTACCCATAACTGTTCATGGCACCATTCTCAACCCAAAAGCATACCGTCTTCACCACATTTGGAGCCCTTTAGTTTAAAAATGCAACAACAACCTACCAAGTAAAACCCTACAAGTGGGGTCGGGGGGCCGGAACCCTTGAGCTCATCAATATGTTTTTATTCTATGCCCGTCCCTCTATCTTAATCCCCTTTTACCATTTTTCTGTCCTACAGTTTAGGGAGGGTGTGCGAGTTATACTTACATCATACTTATAGTACAAAGTATCATATTTCACTAATCTAGACCATCAAACAATGAAATAAGAGTCTACATATCCTCCTCCTCCAACAACAACAAACCTAATGAAATCCCACAAGAGGTAAAGTCTCGGGAGGTTATGTGTACACCCCCTACCTCTAAGTAGAGTCTATATATCCTCCAAGTTCCTTAAAAGAAACTTTTTTTGATGACATTGAACTATCTTTCTAGTCTTGTAGGAAAAGTCAGGATGGGTGCAATGTCTAGATTATAACCTATACAACATTGAAATAAAATTTACAAAGCAGCACCCGTTTTCACATGCACTATTATGAGCTCAAAGAAGAAGCAACAACAACAACAAACCCAATACAATCCCAAAAGAGTAGGGTCTAAGAATGGTTTGTGTACACAAATAAATCTTGCCCCTACTTGGGAATAGAGAGGTTGAGGTCAACGAAGAAGCATTGACAATTATTTACTTGAAAGAATGAATCAACGAAAGACATGCCTAACACAGAGTCAACTCCGTGAACTTTTTTCTATCTCTTTGATTCTGATATGGCAATGCTATTTGACCTGATTGCTTTAGATGCTGAGATGGAGTCTTGCGAACATGAGAGGTCCTTGTTGAGAAGAAGACTTGCTGCATCTATTGTTGAAATTGAAAGACAGGTGATTGCGTTGTACGCACTCTACTTACCGATGTATGAAAATTCGACATTATTTTTACGGAACAAAGAAATTCTTTCCCCTTTTTTTGCAGAGAATGAAATGCTTCCCATAATGTAATGGATGGAGAGGTCAGGCATTGATACAAGTTTCACTCATTTCCCCCACATTCAACTGGTTTACTTTTGTTTCAAAATTGACTTTACCTTTAACCTGTTTGACTACACTTGTCTGGGAATTGGGAATTGCTCAGATGCTACTTTTCCTTTTCTTCTTGAGCATTTGTTTATGTGGTAATCTTAATCCAATAATAAACAAACATCTGGGAGGATCAAGAATTCAAGATTCAAGAATGAAAAATCCCTTCTTTTTTTAAATAATATATTCAGCACCACATTCTCTTCCATTTCATTGAACATAACATACATTCGTTTACTATAGAGTTCTAAAGCTGTGAACTCGATGAAATAGACTATTTGCAATATATGATATTGTACTTATTGAATCCAATATTTATTGTTAACCTTGGTTTGCTAACTTTTCTGTTTAGATTTTAGGTAGATTTTTTAAAAAGAATATGCTTTTATTCATCTATAGGGATGGCAACGGGTCGGGTTCGGGTCGGATAGTACTATACCCGAACCCGACCCGACTTTAAAAACCGAAACCCGAACCCGACCTGAAACCCACTTTTTAAGCCAAAACCCGAACCCGACCCGAAGCCGACATTCCAACCAGAGACCCGAACCCGACCCGAACCTGACTTTTAACTAATAATCAATTCGGCGTACCACAAAAATTTTAAAAAGATTACATCTATTTTTTTTGTGTCTCATTTTTTTTATTAAGAAANATTTATTGTTAACCTTGGTTTGCTAACTTTTCTGTTTAGATTTTAGGTAGATTTTTTAAAAAGAATATGCTTTTATTCATCTATAGGGATGGCAACGGGTCGGGTTCGGGTCGGATAGTACTATACCCGAACCCGACCCGACTTTAAAAACCGAAACCCGAACCCGACCTGAAACCCACTTTTTAAGCCAAAACCCGAACCCGACCCGAAGCCGACATTCCAACCAGAGACCCGAACCCGACTTTTAACTAATAATCAATTCGGCGTACCACAAAAATTTTAAAAAGATTACATCTATTTTTTTTGTGTCTCATTTTTTTTATTAAGAAATTATAAAAATGATTATAAAAGGCATACTTGATATAGTAGCACTTTGTCAAGAGATTATACGGAGTGTTCATTATACCCATAACTGTTCATGGCACCATTCTCAACCCAAAAGCATACCGTCTTCACCACATTTGGAGCCCTTTAGTTTAAAAATGCAACAACAACCTACCAAGTAAAACCCTACAAGTGGGGTCGGGGGCCGGAACCCTTGAGCTCATCAATATGTTTTTATTCTATGCCCGTCCCTCTATCTTAATCCCCTTTTACCATTTTTCTGTCCTACGGTCTAGGGAGGGTGTGCAAGTTATACTTACATCATACTTATAATACAGAGTATCATATTTCACTAATCTAGACAATCAAACAATGAAATAAGAGTCTACACATCCTCCTCCTCCTCCAACAACAAACCTAATGAAATCCCAAAAGAGGTAGAGTCTCGGAAGGTTATGTGTACACCCCCTACTTCTAAGTAGAGTCTATATATCCTCCAAGTTCCTTGAAAGAAACTTTTTTTGATGACATTGAACTATCTTTCTAGTCTTGTAGGCCAGAAAAGTCAAGATGGGTGCAATGTCTAGATTATAACCTATACAACATTGAAATTTAATTTACAAAGCAGCACCGGTTTTCACATGCACTATTATGAGCTCAACGGAGAAGAAACAACAACAACAAACCCAATACAATGATTTTATGGTTTACTCTACAAATACTTCATTTCTTTTAGCCTAAAAATTTAAACATATGTCTTGGTTTTTGTTTATATATTTTTTGTGTTGGGTCATACCTACATAAATAAAAATAATATAATAGAGACCGTTGTATAAAAGCATATTTATGGGCACAAACATTGCCCCGGCCTTCATAGTTTTAAAATTATGGTCCTACTTCAAGGAAATTAAATTACAGTCTATTTCTAAGTAGATTTATACATCTATGTTAACGAAGGATGTAAGTTTTCTTTAACAAATAATTTTTTACCAATATATAATACAATTTTCCTTACTAATGATTAAATTTTGTTCATTTTAACTACAAAAAAAAGATAATGTGGACAAATATTCCAGGACAAAGGTAATAAGTAAATTTAATTATAATGGGCATTGAAAAAATAATATATATAAATGATACCACCTACAAAATTCATGGTCACCTTAATTTTATATTGTTGTTTCACAAGTGAAGACAAAGAAAAAATTAAAATATTATTTCTAGGTAACAATGAAAACTCTTGCAACTGTAATAAAAATATTGTATATCTTGAAGTCTTTCGAAAAATTTGGAATGAAAAAAGACTTTGTTGATGATACTTTCAATTCTTGAAATATAATTTATTTTAATTTGGATTTTTGTGTCTATAATATTAAAAATCATGCTAGAAATATATTTTCTTTTATTTCGTAAAAATATTACATTGAAAAAAATTCAAAAAAAAAAAAATTCGACCTCGTACGCGGCACGGGCCAAATGCTAGTGTATTAATATATTACAAATTAATATATTTCTACTTATATGATTATAGTATATAAAAATATAAAATATTTAAATATGAAAGTTGAAAATTGAGAAAGATTAGAAATTTTGAGAATTGAGAGAAAGAGAGTAGAGAAATTAGATATTGTGTTGTGATTTTTTTAAAAAATGAATAGAGTATTTATAGGTTAAAACCCCCACCCCCTTGCCCCAACGTCTATATAGTCGTTGCATGCCATGATGCCTAGGGGTGTTCATCGGGCCAAGACCGGACCGACCCGGATCGGACTGAAGGCCGAATTGATTGAAATCACGGACTGGACGTAAATCTATTCGGGTTTGGACTGGATTGGACAAAAATACTTATGACTGAATCGCCCCGGACCAATTGGACCGAATAAAAATGTATTTTTTTTAATTTTTTTGATCATTTAAATATATTTTAGGTTTTGATGATTTGTCTTTCAAAAAAACAAATACTTTAGGCTTTTTATTTTGTAGCGTACAAATAGGAAAAAAATAGACAATCTAAAAATAGATACACAACATGGATACTTCTATCTAGAATAATAAAACTAATGCGAAACCTTTTTTTTTTAACTTTTTTAAAAAAATTCTTTAAAAAAAAGCTTTTTAATTAAATAAATTAAAATATCTATTCAAGTAAAGAATCAAAGTGTATTACGGAACTTAAAAAGTAGAGTTTACGTATTTAGGTCTTTTAGGTACAATATGGTTATTAGGTCCATTCGGTCCGGACCTAAATCATTTCGGGTTTGGACCGGACCGGACCGAAAACCAAACTCCTAAATTTTTTGAACCGAAGACCGACCCGGAATCCATTCGGTCCAAGTTCAGTCTGGACCGAACGGTTCAGTTCGGTCGGTTTTTTCGGTCCAGACCTAAACGTGAACAGGCCTAATGATGCCAGCGTGCCTGCTGCACTCGTAAAGAAGGAAGCAATGGTTGGAAAAAGAAGAAAAAATTACCAGAATCGAACTGGAATTGTCGATTTCGACTCCAAAAAATAAAACTTAGAACCTGACACGTCTCCAATACTTTTGGATCTGATCCCCGTACCCGACACTCTGTGACTATCTATGGTCCAATTCCGGAATAGCCAGTGCCGGTTCTTACCTGGAATCGTGTCCAGCCCTAGTCAAATGAGAAACCAGAGCTTGCACCTCCATCACTTCGCCTACTCCTGATAAGTTTATTATTTCTGCATGTGTTATTATCTTTGTTGGTTTTTTTTTGCTTTGTGTTTGGATTAAATTGTATATTATTAATCAATATTGTGATTTAGGATTGATTTGTACTTAATGTTTAACGATAGAGTTTAATTGTAATTATAAGAAAATGACCAATTAGCTAGGAAAAATGGGGGGCCAATGTACAATTTCCAAAAAGTGGATTTCAATGTAATCAGGTTAAGGAGTATTGAGAGAAAGAGAATAGAGAAATTAGATATCGTGTTGTGAAATTTTTTAAAATTAAAATCACCTTAAATAGGACTAAAACATAGAGAAAAGTACCAAAATAGAACTTTCATATTTTTTTCCGAAATAAGACATTGCATTGTGGTAATGTGGCACTGTACGTGTGCACATTACTATACTCTTTTGATAATGTACATGATCATGTTTGGTAATGTAAGTCCTATTTTGAGAATAGAAAAATGGAAATTAAATCATATTTTAGTATATTTTCAATATTTTAGTCCTACTTTGATCTTTCTCTCTTTTTAAAAAATGAATAGAGTATTTATAGGTTAAAACCCCCCATCCCCTTGCCCCAACGTCTATATAGTCGTTGCATGCCATGATGCCAGCGTGCCAGCCGCACTCGTAAGAGCATGGGCAATGCTGAGGTAAACATGAAATGCCACACGCTGACGTGGAAAATTTCAACCAATGAAAAATAGTCCAGTCAATAAGTGACAAGTAAGTGGAATGACACGTTCTACAGTGACAATTCATTATTTTTGTCACTTATTATATGTTTTTAGGCATTTTAGTGTTATCTATTTTATTAATTTCAATGCCTTATTAATAATTCTATAACCTTTACAATGAAAGAGTATTCTTTTTCTTTATTAAAAAAATCATCTTTTTCCTTATTAAAAAATTAAAAAAAATGTTGTTATCTGCTTAACTTTTTTGAAGTGTTATCTATTTTATTAATTTCAATGCCATAGAAAAAAAATATTTTATTTTTAAAACAAAAGCGCAATCTTGAATGGCAAGTCTTTTTTTGCCATTTTGATACTCCATATTTTTTTTATCAATAGCCTAGACCTACTGTCTTTCTTCAAAAAAAAAAAAAAGAAAAGAAACAAATATGCCTCGCACAAGCCACGCTAATCATGGTGGAATGCTCCTTCCATTCCACGGTAAACAAGTAAAAGTGTGGTGTGACAGTGGGTGGCATAGGGAAAACTCGCCGTTGCTCGTGCTCTAAGGAAGGAAGCAACGGTCGAAAGAAGAAGAAAAAGTTACTGAAATCGAATTAGAATTGTTGGTTTCGACATCAAAAAATAAAACCTAGAACCGGACATGCACGTCTCCAATAGTTTTGGGTCCGATCCCCGTACCCGCGACTCTGTGTCCGTCTCCGGTACAATTCCGGAACAGCCAGTGCCGGTTCTTACCCGGAACCGTGTTCAGCCCTAGTCAAATGAGAAGCCAGAGCTTGCACCTCCATCTCTTCACAGACCGCTTAAGTTTATTATTTCTGCATGTGTTATTATCTTTGTTGGTTTTTTTAAATTTGTTTTTGGATTAAATTGGATATTATTAAACAATATTGTGATTTAGGATTGATTTGTACTTAATGTTTAACGGTAGAGTTTAATTGTAATTATAAGAAAATGACCAATTAGCTAGGAAAAATGGGGGGCCAATATACAATTTCCAAAAAGAGGATTTCAATGTAATCAGGTTAAAGGAGTATTTTCGGACTGATTGCAGACGGGCGCCGAGGAAGGAGGCACGGGCTGGGGTTTTTTTTCTCAATCGGAAGCGGGAACCTTGTCTGGGCTTCGATTGACGCCGGAGCTTTCACCTCCCTAACCTCACCTACCGCCGTCTCACCTGCGCCACCTGTCCCTCACGCCATCGCCGTACGACAATGAAGGGAATGAAGGGTTTGTCAAAGAAGCGCAAAAGGTTGGAAGAAGATCATGCTATAATACAAAGAGAATCGGAAGAAAAATCACCTGAAACAGAGGCCGATCCAGCCAATCCAGCCACTGATGAAGTGGTATTGAAAGATGCTGAAGAACAAAGTCCAAAAACAAGTCAAAGACTGAAGAGAAAGACTAAAAAGCAGGAGCAAAGGAGAAGAAAAAGGGAAAGGAAAGCTGAAGAAGTAGAAAAGTCAAACCAGTTAGAAGAAAAAGTTTTTGAATCGACTACTGAAGAATCCTCTGAAGCTGAGCTCAATGAATCACTGTAAGTATTTTTTAAGTATTAACAACATAAGTAATAACATTATATCTAATCTGCTACACTATATCCTCTTCCTTACAAGGTTTTAATGTAATTTTTCATTCCTTGATCTCCAAATAAATTAGCACTAGCTTGTTCGTCATGTCCAACCATCTCCAAAAAATAGCAATATTCTAATCTTCAAAATAGTAAGACATGTTTTTTTAAACCAACTCGAACAGGTCAGAAGAGGCGGACGAAAGAGAAGCAAAACTCTCAAAACTTGATGAACAATTTCTTCAACTATCTAAGCAACTCATCTCTTGGGTATATGACCACAAACATATTATTTGGTCAAAACTACCCAACAACCAAATAAAATTGTCTAGCACTATACGCAGAGTGCTGAGAGCCATCTTTGGAATGGCATATCGGACGATATGCCTCGATGGTGGAGCTCATACACATCTTGGTGATGTTCTTATTAGAAGAGGGAGGGTAATTTACGAGAAAAATGGATTTGAAAAGCCCGGTGAGCTCTTATAATGTTTCTTTCTTATATATGAAGTTTCTTCGCATTTGTTCCTTTTTTATAACTACCTCATTTTGTTTGTCCAGCCAGTCTTGCAAGCTTGAAAAAATGCATACTTGCTTTGAAGCAAATCATCTTGATGATTCTTAATGTGGCTAAGACAAAAGTAAGTCATGCTCCTGTGAGCATAGTCAAGTTTCTTGAACTTTGTGAGACGGCGCTTGCACTTGAGAAAGGTAAGGTGAATGAGGAGCTTGTAAAGATAGGAAGACTAAGGTATAACAGTTTTTTTTATTGTTGTATTTTTGAAAAGTTTAAGCATATGTTTTATACTTTAAACGTTGTAACTTTATCTTTTTTTTTAGGAAGTTTTGCTACTTTGTTTTCAAAAATCCGGTGGTTTACGACCGAGATGACGAGTTCAAGTATCTGTTCAAGATCAAGAATTTAGTTGAAATGGATGAGGTGGGTTTTAAGAATCATGTGGAACTGAAGGGGTGCTTCGATGGTTATGTGAAGCGAATCACAAAGGGGGACAAAGAGCTACACCAGATCAGATGCTTTAATAGTCAGATTAACAATGCAAAGGGTCCAAAGAAGGGGAAGAAGGCAACCGTGCTAGGAAAGAGCAAGAAGAGCAAGAAGAGCAAGAAGAACAAGAACGTCAAGAAGGATGCTATCAATAACATGTATGATGATCCATATAATTGCATACGGTTGATACTTAACATCATTCGCCATTTTCAAGGCACAGCTTTTGATCTTAAAATTGAAGCCCATGGCCGTTACAATATGCATCAGATCCTCCGAGAAGCCCTTGATCGGTATTATTTAGACATAATACCCATATCTTGGTACGTTTTAGCCATGGAGCTTTGGGAGCACGAGGGTAAAGAGTTCTATCTTAGGAACTACAGGTGAATTGAAAACTGGAAAAGAGGTGTTTGCTTTATATATTAACTCTATTTTTATTTTTTTCTGTTATTTTATTAACTATATTATTTGATTGTAATGCAGAAATCTTGAACACTTGATGGAGAAGAAGCCGAAGATATTAGGAATCTTCAATGAGATAATTGATCAGTCTCTTTTGTTGTAGTTGGTTAGAGGTAAAAGTAAAAGTGCTTGGCTTTAGGTGTTACCTCTATTTTTTTTTTTGTTGAACGGTCTCTCATACTCTAGTTTGCCTCTTACTCTAATTGAGCTACCTTATTAATTTTCTTTGGATCCAAAACAAAATTATTGTCATCATATTGTAAGAATCTGTCTGCCTCTTTTATGTCTATTTCAACCCCTAGTCTTTAAAGAAGTTGGAGTTGAATAAAAATGTTTCAATGTGGATTTTCTTTTTTTTTTTTTTTAAAAATGGTGATACTTAGAGGATGGCACCCAGTTTCTAGGTGCTAGAAGGTAAGCACACACTTATCTTGCATATAGATTTATGTGTGAAGAAAAACCACTACATTAAAGAACACACTTATATGCACAGAATGAGCTCTTCATTCCTTAAAACATTTATAGGGTTTCATTGTGCAAGATATTTGTACTCTGGTTTTCATTTGCTTGCTTTCATATTACTTTTGTCCTTCAAGAAGTAGTCCACATAGTTATCCCATAATCTGTTTCCACGAACACACCATGATTGTGAGTACTGGTTAGAGTTAGGCCTGCTTTTATAGGTGTTGGAGAATTGACCTTGCCAGTTATCCCATCCCCGCATTTTTTTACTGCACTGTAGAATATTTTTACGGTACAAACTGTTTTTTTTTATCAGTTTGGTGTGATGCGCATGAAATGTTCTGCCAGTAGAATGAGTAGATAATGGAATTGTTTTTTTTTTTGTGTGTGGTTATATTGTCTACTATGTTTTAACTTCTAAGGGCGTTTTGTTTACTGTCATCATACTAAATGTTTAATACTACATCTTTGCAGGGAATTGAATGAATCAAGTGGGAGTCACACTGAACAGTTGTGGTTCTTTTTGCTCATCTGGTCCACACTAATATTTTGTAGATAATTTTTGGACAAATTCCCTAGCCTAGTAGCTAGCCTCAGTAGGAAGAGTTTGTGAACCTAATTAATTCCTCAGACAGAAATCATCAGAGGGAAGAATTTGAAATGCAATTGTAGTTCATTAGTTCCTTATTGCTTTTGCAAATCGCAATGCAAAACATTGGTGACAGAGCAGCAACATCATTGATGCTTCAGTTGCTGTGTATTATATATATGTATTCCTATGTTATTCCATTCAAGACTTTAACCCTAGATGAGTTTAGTGCGTTCGACTCCTCCATTTTCTTTGAAACTCCCAAATCTGAGCTCTTGTTGTTTTTTTTCTTTTTTAAAATAATAGACTTAAGCTGCATTTTACTTCTTTTTTTTAAATAATAAGCTTAAGCTGAAAGTTCTGTGTTTGAAACTTGTAAAACTACCTTTGTTTGAAGTTCATGATTGGTATCTAGACTAAAGATTGGGACATTGGATCTTGGAGATAGACTTTGCTGGCAATTGACCAATGTCTCTCTCTTTTATGCTATCATTCTTGCAATATTATTCTATCAAACAGAATACATTTTTTTATAATTATACATTTATATGCATAGATTTGTAATCAGTTTGGTTGGGTAAATTTTATATATGGTACCGGAACTTTCTGCAATTTTTATTTTGGTACCTAAATTTCATTTCCTTTCACAAAAATATCTGAACTTTAAAAAATATTTCACAAATGGTACTTGAAGTAGGTTTTCAAGTAACCAGCACATAATTTGGGACCAAATTATAATTTTAAATTTTTAAACCTTTCAATTTGACCCCATTTCTTTTTTTTTCTTCCTCCCTCCCCCCACTCGGCCGCTACTCCAATACTCCCTTCTTATTCTTCTTTCACTTTTTTCTCTTCTTTCTCAACCATTTTTTCCTTCTTCTTCTTCTTCTTCTTCTTCTTGAAAGCTTCCTTCTTCTATTGGCCTTGAATGTCGAAACTTACCATGTTTTGATGTTACCAAATAAGTCTTCCAAGTACTAACTTTTTTTGTAGGCTTAAACGAGACACCCGAACCTCTCCTAACTTGGTTGATTTCAACAAGAATTGATTCACTCGAGTTTAGATTTGAAAAATGTAAGAGCTTGATAAAATGATGTTACACTTGTGCCCTTGCACTTAAAAATATTTCACAAAAGGTTCTAAATATTGCTTTGATTGGGTCATTATTCAAAATCGGGAATAAAATAAATTTTGGAATAAAATATTGCTCATCTGGTCCCATTTTAAACTTCCTAAACACTATAAATACACCTCCTAAGCCTCTCCTAAACACACAACAACACCCTTCAACATACATTACATTCTATAATATCATTCTTGATAATTTGTGTGTTCCAAGCTTTAAAGTTCATGATTTTTTCTTCTCTTTTGAGTTTAAGGCTTTGATATTTATATTTTCAACACACACACACCAAAGGCTTTTGTGTTTCATCTTCTTATCTTGCTTATAGGCAATTGTTGTTTTTATATCTTGTTCTTCTCCTACCAATCACATTATATATTACTCCCTTCGTCCTAAAACTTTCTTCTCAGTTTGACTTTTCCCCATTTTTAATACATGAGTGTATTAATGTCGTTTGTCATCTTTTTTTTTCTAATGGAAAGGTAGTTTTAGGATGGAAAAAAAGGGGAAGTGGGAAGAAAGTTTTAGGACGGAGGGAGTACTTTGGTAGAGAAGCAACTAACTCTTTTCATTGTTTTGTAAAAGGTGTGGATAGCCTTTAAATCCACTTTGTAAGGTTGAAGATAGCCTCTAAATCTTTGGTTGTAAACGGTTGAGATAGCCGGTATAAAATCTCGTTGCTTATTGGCAAAGGTTGTTTGTCAAACCTTGTTTGGATCTTCTTAGTGAAGCCAAACAAGTTAGTGGAGCCTAGAGGTACTGGAGAAGGGAGTTCCCGAACCAGTATAAAATCGATTGTGTCGTGTTTCTCTCTTTTATATTTTTCTTGCTCCTTTTCCGCTGCTACTACTTTGCGCTTAAGTTTTTGCTTTTACGAAAAACTTTCAAACACCCTAATTCACCCCCTCTTAGGGTGTAAACCGACTTTCATCTTTCATTCCACTTTTTTTGTCAGTGCCACCCATTTCTTCTTGAGACCCTTTTTTCTCAATTTTTTTCACTTCTTTTTTTAAGTCTTTTTTTCCTTCATATTTTCTTCAATTTTATTCGTTTGTTTTTTGTTTTTGATATTTTGTGTTTGTTAATTTTTTTCTTGTTATTTTGATATTATTTGTTTGTTTGGTTACATTTTTTTGTGAAATGTTTTTGGTAAGTTTTTTTATCTTTTATGTTAATAACTGTCTTATTTTTTGTTTGATTTACTTTTTAGTTTTTTGATAGTGTTTTGTCTTAGTTTGTATCTTTTCCGTTAGTAAATGTCTTTTTTTTGTTTAATCATTTTAATTAAACAAAAAAATCAAACCATACCTCTTAATTTATTTTTTTTTGTTTGCTAATGCGTTTTGCCTATTTTTAATGGATGTTATTTTATTGATCATTTTAATTAAACAAAAATGATCTTCAATGTTTTCTGTCTGTATTTTTTTGTTTTCGGTCTTGTTTGTAAACATAAACTAATTAAATAAAATAAGCCCAAATAAATAAAAAATTAGAACTAGAAACAAAATTCGTAATGTACAAAAAAAATAATAAACTAAAAATAATTGATTAATCTCTTTCTGTTTCTTGTTTGTTATGTTAACAAACTTCTTATCATTTTTGTTTGTTATTTTCATAATCTAATTTTTTAATTAAAATAAGTTAAAAATTAATTCAAACTAAGATCCGTTCTTTTTTTTGCATATCGTTGTCTCTTTTTATATTTCACTTATTCTTAGTTTGGTTTTGTTTTATATTATTAATTAGTTTTGTTTTCTTATTTTTATATTTTTTTTATCTTTTTTATTTATTTATTTGGTGCTATTTAGGGAAATTCATTATTTTTTAGTGCTATTTAAGTAAATTTCTCTGAAATATTTGCATTAAAAAACTTAATCATTTCTCTAAACAGCACGTAAATTATTTTATTTCTTGAATAGCACTTAATAATATCCATAATATCCAATGATGACGAATATTTACTTGAATAATGACTAATGCATAATGACTAAAAGTGCTATATTGGGAAGAAAAACACATGTGGTGCTATTTAGGAAAATCCATTATTTATTGGTGCTATTTAAGTAAATTTATCTAAAATAAATTGAGACGTATGGTTTGATTTTTTTGTTCAATTAAAATCATTAAACAAAACTATAAAACAGTTATTAACAAAAAATTGAAAAAAATGAGACAAAATATTGTCAAAAAAATCAAAAGTAAATTAAACAAAAAATAAGACAATTTTTAGCGGAAAAGATAAACAAAATTAACAGAAATATTTCACAAAAAAATTGTAACCGAACAAACCAATAACGAGAAAAAAAGAAAAAATAAAAATCTAACTAACACAAAAGATCAAAAACAAAACAAAAAAATAAAATTGAAGATGATATGAAACAAAAAAACATTAAAAAAGAAGTAAAAAATTGGAAAAATTATCTCAGATAATCCCATCTTTTCGCAATCTTTCAAAAATAATCTCACTTTTCACTGTCATCGGAAATAATCTCACTTTTCCACATGTGTGCGAGTTTTGGGTCACCGCTAAAAAACTAACGGCCACTTAACGGAAGTTTTTGAAAATTCATGTTTTTCGCAAATAAATGAAAGATGAGATTATTTTAGGCAAATTTGATTTTACTTTTTTAACTTTTATATTTAAAATTAATATTTTTAAAAATATAACATGACACTCCTGTTAGAGATTTGTCTAACGATTAACAAATTTTGTTTTCTATTTTGGGAAAAATATAATATTGAATTATCAAAAATAATTCAAAGTATCGATCAAGAAAGAAATTGAAATACAAAAAAATTGTAGTGATTTATAAAATTTATTAGTGACATTTTGGAGAAAAAAATATTGTGCCATTTTCACAACTTTTGAATTACTATTTCGGAAAAAATTTGTATTGAATTATTAAAAAAATAACAAATTGGGTAGTTCCATTTTAGAAAAAAATATGATATGCAATATAAGATCATCAATAAATATTTTGGAGTGTTCATGAAAAAATTGCAATACATCAAAAAATGTAGTGAGTTATAAAAATAAAAGTTCCATCTCAAAGAAAAAATTGCTGTGTTATTTTCACAACTATTGTAATGTTGTTTCACAAAACATATTTATGTAGAACTATCAAAAAGTACTCATAAGTTTTGTAGTGCCATTTTTTTAAGAAATAATAATTACTCCCTCCATCCCCCAGTTTTTGTCCACTTTCATTTTTACACACCATCCAATGCACTTCTTTAATCCATTTTATCTTATAATTTGTATATTAAAAAATTATAAAAATTATATATTAATAATCTATATGTTAAGACAAATCAAACAAGATCACACATGACTATATTTAGACTTACACATTGAGAGAATTTGATGAGTCAAAGTGTTTAGGTGAACAGTTCCAAAAGTCAAAAGTGGACAAAAACTGGGGGACGGAGGGAGTATATAGTACTCCCTCCGTCCCAAATTATAATGTCTGTTTACTATTTACAGGGTCAAACTTCATTCACTTTCTTTCTCTATTTTCATTAGGAAATTGATAAAATAAAATATTGTTGTCACTACTAGTTTTGTAGATCTTTTGATCTACTATTTTGATATGTAATTTTTATTTTTTAATTCTATACCATTTGTCATATAAAATGATTTGAAAATAATTTCAGTCAAGCATCATAAACCGAAACAGGCGTTATAAAATGGGACGGAGGGAGTATCAAAAAACAACTCGAAGTGCAGCTCAAGAAAATACAGTAAATGCAACTTACAAAAAAATGTAGATTGTTATGAAGTAAATAAATCATCTCTATTGTGTAAAATTATTTATACCAGATTATTGGTAAAAAATAATTAGTTTCACTCAGAAAACACTTAAATTTGGTATTAGTTTTCCAAAAAAAATAGAAATACATTTAAATTTAAAGTTAGAAATTAAAAAAACAAAAAAGGGAGAATTTACCTAAAATAATCACACCTTTAATTTATTTGCGAAAATGGGCATTTTTCAAAATTTACGTTAAGTGACCGTTAGTTTTTTAATGACGACCCAAAACTCGCACACATGCGGAAAGGTGGGATTATTTCTGGTGAGAGTGAAAGTGAGATTATTTTTGAAAGAGCACGAAAAGGTGAGATTGTTTGAGATAATTTTTTCTAAAAATTTTCACAAAAAAGGGGGTGGGAAGAATGGATACCAACCTTTTGCAATTACAATTTTTTGTTCCACCTTCACAAGCAAATTATTAATAAGACTAGAGAATTGAGATTATATTTGTGTTTTGTTTGGATGGGACAGAGCAGTGGGGGATGGCACGGAGCAATATGATGAAGCGGCGATGGCTACGAATGAAGACCTAAAGAAAGAGTCAGAAAGCTTTGCTCTCCGAGGCATTTTTGTTTTAGAATAATACTCAAAAGAGTAGTTTTATGCCATCCCATGGAGATAAGAATACCCAAAAGAGTAAAGTCTTGGGTTGGATTTGGGGGGATTCATAGAAAAGGCAAAATGGCACAACCACTATGGCGCAATAGAATAGATAACATAAACACCAATTAGTCAATGAAAATAACAAAAGAAACTGAAATGCCATTGCTTTATGAACTTGTGTGTGTGTGTGTGTGTGCGCGCGCAAAAAGGAATGAAAAATAATTAATATTCTGTGAAGCAACTGGTTCTTCAAATTTGGGAAAACCACAATAATTTGGTTATTGCAAGGCAGGTGAATAGGAGGCCATGTTAGTGAGGCTGATAACCCTTGTGGAAGAGAAAGATAACCACATCAGTGGGAAAACACCATATCACACACGATGTCAGCAACCAAGTGTAAGCATCACAAGTATAGAAGTCTATATGCATATGTATAGGTAAGTATTACAGAGTACTCGGGGTATATGATTTTCAATAAGAGTGGCTTGGAGAAAATTACCATCATTCCACATGCAGCAGTCCCAATCAACATCATTCGCATGATCTGTAGCAGAGGCCAATATCCTCACCAAAAAAGTTTAACACATTTATATAGAAACACAGTTGAATTGAAGTACTGTATAAATGTAAGGATTGGTACCTTCTACTACTATATAAAAGGAATTGTTGGGATCACAATTCGTTAAAAATCTTTTTCACCATATCAGTGCTAATAATTTCTTTGTTCTTCACATTGTAAGCATCCCATAATCAAGAGACGCGAACCTTAATCATACAATATCTTGACTCACATGTCAGAGAAAAGCCTAGAACACCAAGCAGACGCTGCTGGAATTAGTGATGAAAAGTAATTGCAAGAAAAATTAACCTACCATGCATTACGGAGCGGTGATTTACTTTGGCGATGCTTCACTCTCCCAACTTCTGACTCCTCAACTGGAAAAGGCAGTAGTTCGATAGAGAGAAGGAAACACATAACGATTGTCAGAGAGACAGAAATGGCTGGAGGCATCCCGAAAAGGCATATTCAGAGAAACTATTCATACCAATTGGTTTTGGTTTTGGTTTTGGATCTCTGGAGACTGCACAGGTCAACACATGTTGAACTAAAACCACATTGCTATTCCATCAACAAGACATGTTTGGAGAAACAATTCATACCAATTGCTTAATACAGCCCAAGTAAAGCAAACATCAAGATATTTAAATATTCAAAAACCTCAAGAAATATTCATTATACAGAGGCTTTACTCATGCAAACATTACACTGCTTAGATTAAATTACCCTCTCACAGCACCAAATATGGTTGCAAGATTCACACGCCAATCTAAGACAGACAAGTCTATCCGTCCATAAATAGAAAACAATACTAATAATAATAATAATAATAATAATAATAATAATAATAATAATAATAATAAGATAACTTGCTTGGTTCTTTACTAGATAAAAAGATTGCAAATTGCTATCAAGCAATAGCTTGGAATTTGGGAGATCATGAACATTACATGCTTTTCCTCTACTTGTCAAGCCTTCTCCTCTTGCAAGGACGCAAGACAGCATTGGCCTCTGCTTGGTGCTTACTGTCTGATGCTGCCACCTCAACCGCAGAATCCGGCATGCTATGGCCGCCACCAGTATCTTCAGGGACTGCAACATTCCTATGCCCATCAAATTTAAAAGAAGAAATAATAGAAATCAGAAAATATTCCACACGTGCAATGCAATAGCTATAGCAATGAAAGAAGAAGAAGAAGAAGGGAGGGGAAACTTGCAGGGCAAAAGCATGTTGAAGTTGGTGACAGAGAGTGGGAGCAATAAGTTTCCTTCTAGAAATAACCCTCAAGCAACCAGTAGCCCTCGACTGCTTATACGACTTGCTTTTCACGACAGACCCTATTTTGTACGCTCTCCGGAAATCTATAACGAATTCATTGCAACGATAACCTCCGAATAAATTGTCCATTCCGTCCTTCTCATTTTTCTTCATTCGTGATTCTTCTTTTTCTTCATCAGAGAAGTTGTCTATCTCTTCTTCTTCTTCTTCTTCTTCTTCTTCTTCTTCTTCTTCTTCTTCTTCTTCTTCTTCTTCTTCTTCTTCTTCTTCTTCTTCTACCTCACTATCATCATCACTACTGCTGCTACTGCTGCTTTCTTCCTCATGTCCTCCTTGTACACGATACAGAGTGTTGTCTCTCCAGACCAGACACAACTTTCCATCACCCAGATGAAGCAAGAGAGGGGTATAAATAGCGAAACTTGGTACGGGCAGGAGCCTCTCAGAACGCAGGTCAATTCTAAAATACCTGCCATTAACTAGATCAAGTCCAATCAAAGAGTTTCCTTTGCAACCCCAATCCAGCCAAAGACAATGGTCTCCAACCACAACGCCAGGATGTCTTGTACTGCTTTCTAGCGCAGATTTATCAAACGGAAGATGATCGCAA